CCTCACGACAACCCTCTGACAAAGCAATATTGGCATCCCACGTTCCAGATGAGGAAACCGAGGCACAGAAGGGTTAAGGGACTTGTCTGGGGTCACACAGCTCATAGTGGCAGAGCTGGGAGTTGAATCTTGGCAGTCCTGCTCTTAACTTTAAGCTCTGCTATCTATTACCATTACCAGAGTTATAATTCTGTTCCTTAACTTGGCTGGCAACCACTCTGCCTCAGTCAACTGTCTGAGCAATGGGAGACGGTAAAAATGCACCCCCCGCCCCAACCCAAGGCTATAAAGCCAGGAAGAGTCAGAAATGTGATCCAGGCTGAAGGAGGGCCATGTGGCAGTTGCTGGGGGAGTGGGGCTTACCTCCGTTCCTCACCCCCTGCCCTGCAGGCCCAGGAGAGCTGGGCAGGGCCCTGGGGGGCCGCTCAGAGAGAGGCCCCTCTGGCTTGGGCTCATGACTGTGCCCTCCCTCCCAACCTGTGGCCTGAGAAGATGGTGCTTTCTCATGGCCAGAGGCAGAGGCGTCAGCTCCCCCCCTTCCTCTCCAAGGCCCAGCTGTGGGGCAGCCTCCCAAGCTCCCACCAGCCCCGCCTCTTCTACTCCCTGGCCAAGTTGCTGCTCTGTGGTCACCTGGACCCAATTTCCTCCTTCCTGCCTCCTCCCATCTCTGGGAAGCACCCCTGGGCTGCCCTGCCAATTTCCAAAGTCTTCTCCCCCAGGAAGCCTTCTCTGTCCTCCCCCCACCCCCACCCCCAGGTCTCCTACCCCTCCTTGGAACAAGCCAGCTCCTCTCCCTTCAGCCCCACACATAGAGAATCATTTGGACCATCAGCCCATTTTCCATTTGGTTCCTGGCTGAACATTGGGTCCCCCTGGCCAGACTGCGAGTTCTCTTCCCCAAGGCAGTTATCGCATCGTGGGCTCCACGTCCCCACCCCCCACCCCCCACCCCCCAGTGCCAGGTAGGGAGGAACCCAGAGCCCGAGTGGCCCATGCTCTAGGAACTGAACCTTGGTGCTCAGAGGCCGAAGCCAGCATCATTGTTAAGCTTTTGAGATCTAAGCACCCCTCCTTTAGGTGAAGAAACCCTGAAGGTGCAGGGCGGAGAAGGGACTTGCCCAAGGTCACCCAGAGGCCAGGCCAGTACTCAAACCCAGGTCCTCTGGTTCGCAGGTACAGATTTCTGACACTCGACCTAGAGCAAATTTCTAATCCTCCCAGGTCCTCATTTTCAGGCAGGAGACCAAAATAGTCCCTAACAATGTATTATCAGAACCTGCGGGGTAAATTCTGCCTCACATGCCAGATCTGGAAAAGCCCCAAATCCAACCTCCCCTCCATCTACCCCCATTTCATAAATAAGCAAACTGATACCACAAAAGCAGAAGGGACCTCCTCAAGGTCACACCAAGCGGGAACTAGAGCTAAGACTGGATTCCGTGTCTAGTTCTTTGAAGAAAAATTAAGCATCATCGACTAATCCATTCATCTAACAAAGAGTTTTTTCTGTGGGTTTGTGTGTGTTTGTTTTTGTTTTTTGAGATCCTAATAATGCCAGGCTCTATGCTGGTTGCTAAGAATATAAGGGTAAAAAAGACAGTCCGAGCTGGTAGGGATATGAGGGGGCTCCTGGGCAGGAAATGTGCTGCATCTTGATCTGGGTACAAGTTACATGGGTGTGTTCAGTTTGTGAAAATTCATTGAGCTGTACATTTGGGTATGTGCACTCGTCTGAATGTATATTTCAATCAAAAAAAGTTTTTTTAAAGATAGTCACAAGCATTGAGCTTCCAGAGCTACAATATAGTAGAGGAGGTGAGATGTTAACTAATTACACCAATAATTGATTAATTACAATTGTGACAAGTGGTACAACAGAAGTAGAGGGTGCTAAGGGCTGTGGGGTAGCCCTTAGGTCACGTGGGGTGGTCAGGGAAGGCTTCTCAAAGGAAGTGAGGGATAAGCTGAACTGTACAGAATGAGCAGGAATTTAGAGAGTAGGAATGATTCTCAACCCCTACCTTACACGGCCCGAAAATTAATTCAAGATGGGGCACCTGGCTGGCTCAGCGGTAGAGCGTGCGACTCTTGATCTCGGGGCTGTGAGCTGGAGCCCACACTGGGCATAGAGCTTAGTTAAAAAAATAATAATTCAAGATGAATCACGAACCTAAATGTGAAAGCTAACACTATAAAGCTTCTAGAAGAAGATGTATGGGAATATCTCCATGATCTTGGGATAGGCAAAAATTTCTTAGGCATCAAAACCACTAAACATAAAACAGAATTGTCAGGGGATGGGGAAAAAGCATTCAAAAGAGAGAAAACAATGTGTTGAAGGCCCAGTGGAAAGAAGGGGCAAGGTATATTAGAAGAACTGAGAAAAGGCCAGAAGAAGCGAAGGCAGGGGGAGGGTGAAGTGTGAGAGAATCCAAGAGGACGTAGGGGTCTGACAAGCCAGGGCATTATAGGCTGGGTTCGGAACTGGGAGTTTATCCTGAGGGTACTAGGCAGTCAGAGAAGGGTTTTTAAGTTTCTTTTTTCTTTTTAAATTCAAGTCATCTCTACACCCAATGTGGGGCTCAAACTCACGACCCCGAGATCCAGAGTCTCATGCTCTTTCGACTAAGCCAGCCCGGGGCGTCCCAAGAGAAGGGTTTTGGCAGGAGCAGCAATTGAAGCAACAGTTAGGGATAATGTGACCTTCACCTGGGTTCGCAAAATCAAGTACTACCTTCTTTGATGTGCCCAGGACTGCAAGGTATGGCCTGTGCACAACCACGAATAAAAGGACACACCCCCCTTCTCTCTGCTCAGCAACCAGACAAAGCCAGGCTTGGATTTTTGCTTCCTTGCAAATCAAGATGTAGCTTTACAACTTGAAAAGTCACTTAATCCAGGTTGCAGGCGGACACTTGGGCTGCGAGGCCCTGTCGTGCCAGGCCCATCCCTGGTCTTAGAGGAGCTGGAGTCGGCCAGCTCCCACCCACGCCCCAGCTCTTGCTATAGCCCCACCTCACCCCTGCTCAGCACCTGGACCTACTCACCTCCTCTCCCTTCTCTCCTCCCTTGGAGAGGAGACTAAAGGGTCTCACCAGGAAGAGCCCAGAGGTCGGGAGTTTCCTTCACCCCCTCCCACTCCCACACACACCAGTATACCCAGCACCAGGGCCCAGCAGAGTCCAGCTGTCTCACCACTCAGGCCTTCTCCTTGCAAGGTGCTCACTGAGGCGCTGAAAGTGGTGACTCCATTCAATTCAACCAACATTTACTGAGCACCTGCTGCGAGCCAGGCAGGTGCTTGAGTAAGAGGGTATTATTCCTCCTCTCCAGGAATTCTTGGGGTGATGGGAGAAAGAGAGAGCAAAATATACAAGTGCCTTATAGAGGAGCAAAGTGCAAGTGAGTATAGAAAGTGAGACTGACTTCACCTGCGGAACAGGGTGTGACTAACAAGGAAAATTTCCTCTAAGAGGTGACATTTGAGCTGGGTCCTAAAGAATAAGTAAAACCGACAGTAAGAAATGCTCTTCGCGACAGTGGAGAGTAGAAGAATTATAGTGACCATTGGGGATGTCAGATACTGTGCTCAGCACCTTCTGTATTCATTTACTCCTTACAATGACTCTGTGTAGTAGGTATTAGAATTATGCCCATTTTCTGGAGGCAGTAACTCAAGGGCTAGAGAGGGGAACTGATTTGTTTACAAACTTTCACGGCTGCACGTGGCAGAACCAAGACTTGAACCTAGGTCTCTCTGCTTCCATGCTCTTAACTTCTACTACATAGAGCGGCTTGGGCAAAGGACACGTGGAGGAGGGGGGCAGGGGGTGAGACTGGAGGGGTGGAGGCAGGGCTTAATGGCGGAAGCCTTGATGAGGAGTATGGGCTTTATCCAGAGAGCCGTGGGGCCATGGAAATTTCATTAGTCAAGGAGGGAGTAAAGAGGGATAACACTCACACTCAGCCTTCTATACAGAGGGCCCACATTGAAGGAGTTAGAGACAGAGAAACCTGTGCAAAAGTTGCTACAAAAATCCAAGAAAAGGGCGGCTGGCTGGCTCAGTCAGTAGCGCAGGTGACTCTTGTTCTCGGGGTCATGAGTTCAATCTCCACATTGGGTATAGAGCTTACTTTAAAAAAATCCAAGGGGCACCTGGGCGGCTCAGTCGTTGGGCATCTGCCTTCATCTCCAGTCATGATCCCGGGGTCCTGGGATCGAGCCCCACATCGGGCTCCTTGCTCAGCGGGAAGCCTGCTTCTCCCTCTCCCACTCCCTTGTGTTCCCTCTCTCACTGTCTCTCTCTCTCTCTCTGTCAAATAAATAAAGAAAATATTAAAAAAAATAAAAATAAAAAAATCCAAGAAAGAGATGAGGGTTGAGGGATGGAGAAGAGGAGGTGCACTGGGGAGAAACCAAGCAGAACTTGGGGATGAAATGGAAGGATTAGTCAAAGATGACATCCGGGGTTTCAGGCCCATGTGTGCACTCCAGAGGGAAGCCCAATAATTGGTCTTTCACAATTTATTGGGCACCCCGTCCCCCAACCATGGCTCAGCTCCACACTTAGCACCTGCAAAACTCACTTCTGGAAGGTGCTTTATTCTTCTCCAAAATGCGTATTCATCACCTGTTTGTGTATTCTTTCACCCAGGATACATGGAGCACCTACTGTATGCTGGATGTTCTGGGAGCTGGGGATAAGCAGGGAATAGGCTAAACCTGCCTTATTTGTGGAGAAATGGTTACAGCCTGGGGTCTGGATTTGAATCCTGGTTCTGCAATTCCTTGGTGCTCAGTCCTGGCCGAGCCTCCAGCTGGCTGTGACCTCAGGGAAGTCACTGAACCTCTCATTGTCTCAGTTTGCTCATCTGTAAGATGGGGGAACTGACAGTATCTGCCACAGGGACTCAGTGGGTACATGTGGAGTCTCTGGTACTGGGTAAGCATTCGGTGACAGCTGTTCCTGGAGTTCACATTTTAGCGGAGACAGGTCCAATCACACAATTAATTATTTAATTACAACAGTGATAAATACCCTGAAGGAGCAGTGCAGTCTGGAGGTGAGGGAAGGCTCCCTTGAGCGAGGGACGGTCCTGCTGAGCGAAACTGAGTGAGTTGGGGCCGGCCAGGTGAAGCACGAGGGAAGGAGGGAGGGTCAGGGGAGGCACAGGGGTGTCTGATTAGGCAGAGCCTCAGGCTGAAGGAGGTGCGGAGAGGTCCGTATTTCTGTGACTTTACCTCTTTGGAGCCCCCCCACAATGCTGAGAAGTAGGTCAGGCGGATGCTCTGCTTCCATTTTCTAGAAAGGGCACAAAGGTCCAGAGAGGAACGGCGACTCGGCTGGTCAGTAACCAAGCCTCCTGGTTGATGCTCTGCCCCCACTGATCCAGGGAGCTGGAGAGGACAGGCCTGAGAAGAGGCCTTTGTCCCCGTGCCCACTGGGGTGGCAGCAGCAGGGGCTGAGGCTGCAGCGGCCAGAGCTGCATTCCTTCCCCTGCCGGCAGAGCAAGTCCAGGCTCATGGCAGGGGCCCGAACGTTCTTTTTTGTCTTAAAAAAAAAAAAAAAGAAAAGCACTTTAGTCAACATTAAGTCTTGACTTCAAAGGACATAGCTCCCAACTCTCTCCCCTAACCCTGGGTCTCTCCAACTCCCTGGGGTAAGCCCCCAGGCAGCCAAGTTTCTGGGAAAGGGAATGAGGCCTGGACTTGGAGTCCAAAGACTTTGTGGTGAGCCCTGGCTCAGCCTCCAACTTGCTGTGTGACCTCGGGTAGGTCAGCAGCCCTCTCTGGGCCTGAGTGTCCCCAGCCAAACAGGGAAGGGAGGGTTGGATGACATCAGGTGGGGTGGGGAGTCCAGCAACTGGCTCCAGCCAGCTGCAGCAGCTTTGCTGCCCTTCAAGTCTGAGGCACTGGGGCCTCGGGGGTCCGGAAGCTGGGGACAGGCAGCCTTTCATCTCTGCTGGCCCAGGGTCGCTGCAGGTTGGCAGGCCCCACATCCCGAGATCGCATTTCAGGCTGGAAGGGGCCTTCCTGTGACCTCAGCCGGCCAGCCCTGCCCCTGCCCCCCTCCTCCCCATTCTCACCAGAGGGAAGCAGGCAGCATCCCGCCCAAGGTCACCGACCAGCAAGTGGCTGTCCTTCGGCCTGCCCTTCCCTCCCACCCGAGCC